AAGGGGGGGATAAAAGTAGCGAACATGCGCTCTTCCTATGGTCACTTTCTCAAACAGGTGGCACTAATTTTAAGTCCTGGTTAAAGCCTTGGGTACATAATAGGCCACTGTTGCGTAGCATAATGGCAGAGGGCAAAATTGGCTGTAAGCTCATTAGAAATATTGTATTATACATTTCACTTTAAAAAAATGTTTTTTGCAGTGCAGCTCACCAGCTTTTAATGTTTTTGTAGCTAATACTCGTTTCAAGGCTGTTGGGTGGGGCTTCTGATCCTGGTAAGTCTGATTTGCCCAGGAAAAGCACAGGATTCTAGAGTCAAGGGAGACAAAGGTGGTTTTATGCTCCCATGTCCTGGGGGCAGCTGTTTTTATCCTCTTGATACCAGTTTGTGCAGCCCTATTGTGGGGGGGTGGGCAAAATACAGCCTGCGGGCCAAATCTGCGGTGGGTCCCTTGGTCCCACCCAGCACAGGCACAAGGGGCAGACCAGGCTGTGGTGTGGGCAGCCAGCCCCACTGCCCCTGGGCACCATGGCGCTGGAGCGGCACGGCAGTCAGACTCCATTTCCCAGCAGCCCAGTGGCGGCAGCTCCTTCCGGCCGTTTGCTGGACCCAACCCCACTGCCCAGGCACCCTGGCCCGTCCAACCAGCACCCACCACCAAAGGCAGGACCCACGCAAGTACGGTGCTTGGCCAGGCATCCAGAAGCGAGACAGGCAGGTGGGGCCAGGGAGACTCCGGGATTTTGGGGTGGTGACAGCGTGGGGCCAGAGCCTGGGGCAGAGCCATGATCCGCTGCCCACACAGCCCCGTGATGGGTGCAGGTTCCATGGGCAGGGGCGTGCCGGGAGCGGATCATGCCTCTGCCCCAGCCCCACGCTGTCACCACCCCAAGATCCCACCCCTTACAGCTCCCTGCCTGTCCATTGCCCCATTTACATCCACCCAGCCAAATGCCCTGCCCACGTAGCCAGTCTTCAGGCCTGTGACAGGGATTTTTGCTGAACTATGTGGCTCATGGCCCCACACAATAGGCCACTCCTGCCCTATTGGCTGCTTTTTGTAATAGCCTTCAAGCGTCATTTATACCAGCTGGGGATTGTTGGGGTGCAGCCTTGCTTTGACTGCATCCCTGACGCATCTTCTGACACGAACTCCAGGGGCAGGTAGCTCTGGCTCTGCACCAGACAGAAATCCCCACAGCTGAGTGGTAAAGGCAGCTTCATGGCTACTTCAGCTCGTGGAGTAAGGGCTAGGTTCTGGTTCATAAAGTATCTATAGAAAATGGGTTGCAGTCAGACTTACTGAACAGCAAACTGGTTTGTCACTAGCACAAATAAATTGAGAGGTAGTGTACATCTGCTAGTAATGGCCCATCTCTAGAGACTGAGAGAAAATTACAGGCAAGTATGTGGGATATTAGGGAATACATATCGTGTATAAATAAAGGAGTTCTTTTTTTATTTGATCAAATAGCATAATATTTTTTCTGATAATGTATCCAATAAAAAGACTGCATATTCCTGAGTTGGAGTCCCAACCTTAATGTCCCCCATGAGATATTTTTAAGGCACTGTTCTGTGATATATTGAATCATCTGCTGAGAGATGTCACCAGTTTATGACTTTTTAAAATTTTGGTAGGAGCTGAGAGCAGTCATTGCTTCTGTGGGGATACTTGCTACTTCTTGGGATTAACCCTAGCTGCTAGCACAGAAATGTTTTACATCCTAAATCTTTGGTGGGATGAATTAACAGCTACCCTCAATCTGTATCTGTTAGCTGGTGATCATAGATATGTTTCTGATTAGAAAAAAGATTTTAGTGTAAATTGACCCAGTAGGCAGTCAGATTATTGTAACTGTTGACAATATCTAGGATTAAAGTGCTTACCTCTCCATCTTTAATTATTGTGCTGCTTTGAATAAATGTTCTCTTGCCCAGTATCTATAATTAGGTATTACACTTCTCTCTGAACTCCCTGCATCTGTCTTACGCGTATTGAGACTACCTTGGTAGTGAATGTGTTTTATTTCTCCCTCACCATGGTCAAATGAAAGTTGGTTTTATTAGGCAAGCTGGAGTGAAGAATGTCTTTGAACTAGTACTGAGAGAACCCAAGTGAGATATTTGCTCAGCAGCCTGAATCACACTGCAGCCACTAGCTAAATGTTAATAAGTAGTATATTTTTTATTCCTAAATACTAGAATAAAAGCTTGGGGATCAGAAAAGTTTGAACAGCTGGGGTTTATTCCAAGGAGACATGAAAGAGGGTGTGCCGAGTGTTTTATTTTGAAAGAAATTCTCTTGCACACTGTCTTAGTCCAAGCCACAGGACATCTGGGAAATGTTCGTGTTTGGAGAACACTTGTTCCCAAAGTAACGACATCACTTACAGAATTGTATTCATCTACATCAACCACATTAGCATGAGAGGTGGCATTTAGGCAGCTGATTAATGCAAAAAAATGCTATACATTTTTTTAGCCCATTTGATTCTTTTACAGCCTAAGTGCAGTATGGTTTTTTTGTTCCGTCATGTTCATAGTTGCATAAAGAATGAACAGGGGACATGTACTTGTTCCAAGAAGCTCACCTTTCAAACTCCAGCCCCTAATGGAAACAGTTTATTTCTGCTGTATCCTCTCTCATCAGATGCATTGTTAATATAATTGTACTGTGCTGAGCACAGTATATGATTAGTACTGAACCAGGCTCTGCTGATCCTGGCATACTACCAATGCTTCTGGTCACAATTATACTATCTGCTGTGATGGTTCAAGCTTTACCTAGAAGAGATTATCATAATATAGAGATTTTAAAGCTATTTTGACTTTTTAATTCAATCCTGTCTTTAGGACTATCCTTTGCAGTTCTTTTGCTTCTGTATCTGAAGTATTTACAAGCGTGTGATGCTTCTTTAACTTAATGTTCCTTACAACAATCTCCGGAGCCTAAGGACAACTGATAGATGTGCCGTCAGGAGGTGGGACCTAGGTGGGAATTGAAAAGCACATGCATGACGGAATGGGGCCTGGCCCCCTGCAGGTTGTCTGCTTTCCTGTCCACTAAGATGCCAAGCTAGCCAACTGGCTCTTTTGTGCCCACCCAGTCTTGCTAATTAAAGCTTTCCTGGTCTTTTCAAAAGCCTTTTGCACCTGTTACCTATCTTGCTGTCCCTCCTTCCCTCCCTTCCTTTAGCTGTAGCGTGGGAGCTATGATTTTCAGGAAGCTGCAGGTCTGACAGTCTGCTCTGAGATCAGGAGGGAATTTTTCCCATCAGACCTGCCCAGAAAAAGACCTGGTAGATTTTTATTTTTTTACTTTTGTTGCAGCACCAGGCTTAGTTGGATTAAAAGCAATAGGATTTGAAAGTTTAATGATAGAAGAGGCAAGATTGTTTGTTCATCAAGTACTTTTAGCCAAAGGCCAGTGCAGGTGAAGGTCAAAGAGCCCAGGTCTCAGAGGTACATGAGATGGTGGACTGCATGCCCATAAGAGAAGGGAGGCCTGAATTCTTTATAGACTGGAATTGCCTGCCTCTGGCAACCTCTAATACCTTCCCTTTTTCAGGGGAGTGATAAGAAAGGTCTTTGGACTAAGCGCAGTTCTAGGGCAGGGCAGACAAAGCCTAACCAGCGTTACTGGTTCAGTTTTGTTATGGTGGGAGCCATTTAAGTACACCTGTCTGATATATCAGAGGGCAGGTGAGCACACAGTACCCTTCCCAGGTGGTAAATTAAGTAGTTAAGACTTGCTACTGAAATATGCATCTTATTCATTTGCCTGTAGGTTTCTTTTGATCAGTATTTTAAACTATTTGAGTTAAATAGCTCCTGCCATAGTAGGTTTGTATTTCCTTTTGGAAGTGCAGGGCAGAAAAGGAGTTTAAATTATTTTCTCTCCAACTTTCAAAAGTGCTAAGCATTTAGAATTTAATGTGGGCTGCAGTAAAAGAGTATTCAAGTCAAATCAGTCATGAAAGAACAGTGAAATCTTCTGACGGTCTCCGTGTCGTTTCTTTGTTGATTCTGGTTTTGTTTCACGCATACTAACAAACTTCCTCCTGCTCATTCATGGTTCATTCAACTATTCCTTATTTTAGCATGAATGTAACTGATGGTTCTTAATGTCTCTTGTTCTTAGATAATAACCTATACAACAACCAGAAATGTTTTTGCTTTCCTCCCCACCTTCCCCAAAATGAGAGGTAAATTCTTTAGGTATGGAGTTAAATGAATTACAGGTTTACTTTTTGCAAGCTCCCATCCTTATCCTTGCTTCATAATGGGAGGCTTATCTAGCTAACGCAACATAAAATTTCATACTTGTGTCTGGAAGAAAAGACATTAGGTTGGCATAAAAAGTTCCCCTTATGATTTAATGGCTGTTGTTTAAAAATAGATACTGAGCCTGTTTGCTAGTGATGGGATCTGACTTCCCGCAGGAAGTTGTACTTTTTGAATGGTAAAAAAAAACTATTACTTTTAGATGGGTTGTTACATTTTACTCAGTCTCACTCTAAAGCCTCTCTGTTGCTGGTGCATGGTAAATACAATGGGGGGATCTTCATTTTGAGGCAAATTGGCATAGCTCCACTGAAGTCATAAAGCTGTGACCGCTTACAGCAGCTGCCCCATAAGTTCATAACTTGGACACAACAGCAGACGGCTTGCCAACCAGCCCACTTGCAGTCAGCAAAGTATCTTTCATTCCAGTTTGCTGGGTGTGCATGTGAAGTTGATGCAGAACCATGGCCATATGTTGAACAAGACCATCCAGAAGCAGAGTGAAACGATGTCTGAGAGTCAAAGTTTACAGTAAACAGGGGAAAAGCAAATGGCACTTTTGCTAAGGGGTCATAGTGATTTTGTTTCCTATAACAGAAAAATATTAATAACATTTACCAGCTTGCCATCTCTAAACGTTATCAGATAAGTGGATAACTATCACTCGCCTGTACAAATAACAATTCCTTTCTACTTTTCCCTCCACTTCAGCTTACTGAGACAGGTTCAGGTATCAACTGCTTGGACTCCATGTGCTGCTTCTCAGATGGGGAAACAGCATGCACATCTATTGGAAGAATGCTGGACCGACTGATAGGAAGATGTAGTCCAACCCGGGTCACCAGGTGTGGAATTTCTCTCAGTAGCCTTTGCTGCAGACGATCCTCCTATAAACTGGAACCTGATGAGCCTGCAGCGATAGAGGTTTAGCAAACCAGTTGCAGGCTTTGCGTAATTAAACAGAAAATGCTATTCTTTATAGTGCTTTTTTTTAACCTAAAAGATCAGTTTCTTGCTTTTTCAGAGTGCTTTTATTAGAAAGGAAGAAAATGATTCTTGAAGAGACTTCTGTTGAAACTTTTAGTTTGGCTTTTCTAGTACAAAAATCTTGTAAATGTGGTATTTTCTCTTGGTTTGTACATCCTTCTCTTTAGAAATCAAACTTCACTGTGCTGTTGGTTTTCCTGATTTTAGCTTTTTGCCTTCACAAATCAGGACCTTTTTGTAAATTCAAAAGATTTTTCCTTTCGTTCTTAATGTCAGTCCTCCAGATAGTCACACTTGAGCTTGCATTGCATCTAAAGATATACAAAAGGCTCACATTTTCCCCCTAAATATAACTCCATCTCTAAAAGATGTCTTTAGATTTTTTCATCCATCAGTGGGTATGAAAATTGAATATTTTTATAATATGACTTTTGTAACCTGTTTCTAAAAACAAATTCATTGACAGAGCAAAGCCTTCAAGTTCTGGCCTGTTATTTCAGTGTGTTCATGTGCATCACGTATGTCAGCAAATTCTAAGTGCCATTCAAAAGTATGTGCTAAAGAAATGTCATTTTCTTTAATTATGTACACTAAAACACCTATTGATGGGGAAAATACATTAGAATAAGCAGAAATACTTATAAAGGGTAATGCTGACTATTCACTTTGGGCATAGCTATGAAAAATTATAAAGCTATCTTAATTCCTGCT